TGTAAGGCATGTAAGATGTTCAGTAAACTCAAATAGACATGTTAATGTGGTTTCTGACACTGTATCACACAGTTTAGGGATGTGCATGGAAACTCGAGTACTCAGTACAAGTCACAGAGTCATGTGACTTGGACTTGAGGCCGAATTTGATGACTTGAGACTCGACTCGAGAAAATAGAGAGAGACTTGCGACTCGACTTTGACTTTAACACCAATGACTCAGACTTTGACTTGGACTTCAGCCTTAAGACTCGGATAGACTCGAGAAACCAAAGCGGAAGAGATGTGGAGAGGCGTCTGACCGCAGATGGGACTCTACACAGCCGCTTCCATTTCATGTGAGTGGATTTGTTTCCTGCCGTAAATTGAATAAACAGCAACGTCGTCAGATGTCTGTTACTGTGCTTATGCTAAACCTACTGGATGAAACGACCACTTTCCTCATGGTAGCAAAACAAAAGAAACACAGCTCTCTCTATTTGACCAATTTTAACAGCTTTGGCAGGTAAAACAAGCACTGAGCTAGTTTTTATTTTAATCATGTGCACCCAGTGTTCCCAAAAACACACATTAAATCTAAAGTTTTTTTTTTTTTTTTAATTACGTTCAATAGTATTTTTAAAATTCTTTTCACGTGTAGTTGCACTACTCTTTGTGTAGAGCAGTATGTCTGTCATGGTTAGCTGTGTGCTGCTTGTATCTTGTATTTTATTTGGAAGGGTAAAAATAATAATAATAAAAAATTAATATACAGTCATACACTGCTAACTTGCTGTCATTAAAAGGCTATAGCACTGTTACCATTTTTCATTGTTATGGCCTTAAATTAGCTGAAGAATGCAGACTGACTTGTTTAGGACTTGTTTAGAAAGATTAGGACTTGGGACTCGACTTGAGACTCGCCTGTACTGACTCGGGACTTGAATCGAAACTCGATTATCTTGACTTGGTACTTGACTCAGGACTTCAGTGTCAAGACTTGAGATTTATTTGTTACTTGCAAGGTGACTGACCATTCGAGGTTCCAGTATTCGAATACTGAAATCACTAATTGGATATTTGTTAAATTTCAAATAAAATATGCAGGCTGACAATTCAGTGAAACATGGTGGTTTTGCTCGTATTGGCGAGCAAGCATGTTACGTTATACTTTGCTACTCCGAAAGGGGAGTGCCTGGTTGAGAGTGCACTGCTTTTGCCTAAATAAGTAAGCTCACAACTCTACATTTTTTTGGGCCAAAGTCTGTTTTTTGTTTTTTTTTTGATACTCCAATATCAAAGTTACGCAAAATGCACATCCCTAATACTGTTATTTATGAAAATGGACAAATGTATGTTTTCAAATGTATCTTTTTCTTAGGATCTTTCTCAAGAACAAGTTTAAAAACTTACAAGATATTGGTGAATGTGCCCCATTGTCAGAAACCACATAAGCAAGGAAGTTAAGTCCTTCAGAGAAAGTGGAGAAATCTGATTTTTCACCAGCTACTGCTTTCAAATGGAGTGTTGAATTTTTATGGGGATGACTTCACACCAACTTGAAATGCAATCACTACAGTGGAAAAATATGAAACGCAGTGCACACATTACTTTTCCACTGTGACAGGCAGAATGCAGGTCTATTACAGTTTTAAAAAAGTTGCATAAAAAAAGTAAAATGCTGAATTCGTGACAGTGAGTTGAAAACAGACCACCTTGAAATGTAATCAAGGCACAGCTATACCGCCTTCCACTGTGCAGTACTTCAAATGTATATATTTCATTAAAATGCAGTCATAACTGTGAAAGAAGATTGTGTTTAGACATAAACATGCAGAAAATGTGCCAAAATGAAAAGTAATTGACCCATTACACTGATTTATTGTCGTTGAAGTACAGCACAGAGGAAAGTAATATAGTTGTGCATTTATTACATTTCAAGGTAAATTGTATTTAATTCTGACACAAGTTCAGCATCTCACTTTTGGAATGCAAATCCTGATGTACTGTTTTTCAGTAAACAGCTCAAGCAACATGAAAGATATGTAACAGAGGTTTTGCTTTTCCTTTGGGCACATATTCTGCATGTCACTATGGAAAAGAAATAATTTAATTAAATAATTTAATTTACAACAAATAAAAAAACAAAGAAACTAAAATGTCTAAATTGTACAAATTGTGCATGTAGAACGCTTTTCAAAGCTGATAGTAATGTTTGGAAATCAGACCATTTGGAAAAGTTACATGCTGAACACAAGAGAGCTCCAAATAACCAGTACTGCAGTGCTTACAAGGCAAATGTTGCCTCATTTAACAAACTCCCTCCAATCCAGAGTTAATGAGAAGGAGGGTTGAAATGAAAATGTGTTCATTATTGGAGCAGCGGTGAAATAAAATGTGTGATAATGCCTCATTGATTCGATTTTTAGCTAGGAAGTACTGCTTACACAGTCACCATAAGTACTGACACAAATCACGGCCTTCTGAACAAGGGCAATGAGAGCGTTTAAAGAGCGGCAGAACAGAGATCTGAAAGGTCATTTGTCTGACAGCTACGTACTGAGTAAATGGTGTATCTTAGAGCACCGTTCATCTGACAGTTCAATTTAAAACCTTCCATTTAGAACAATCTTATAGAAAATCTTTTGCTAATTAGTTTAAAGGCAGCCCAGGGATAATGCCGGCAGACCCGCCCACTTTAATAACTGTATCTTACTCAGAGCACCATGGAGACATAATAAACAGTGTTCCGCTTGAGGGTGTACTCCGGGCAGAACCATGGCCTGATCGATATAGGGCGTTGCTAATAATATCAGCCAATATTGAAGCTATGTGGATTTAAAATGTACTGCTGACAGCACCACAGATAAAACACATATTTAGAAATCTTGTTTTTATATAGTAATGAACAGTCAGGACTAATATGACGCAACTCAATACAAACCATTGTACTGTGAATGGACCATTATGCTGCTTGCATGGACCACCGTACTACTAGATAAGAACGTAAGAACCTGGTTTTGTGTAAACTAAGGGGCAGACAACTTCTTTTCTTACCAACTAGGTGAAAATATAGCTAACAGGCTAACTCGTTCCTCCACTAATATTCAGCATTAGGGTTTGAATTGTTGTATTTACTGAATAACTCAGACAGCAAGAGGATAGCATGCCACTGTTGGCGTGCTGACGGCAAAGCTGGTGGCCCACTGGCTTTTTGCCCAGCATTTTGCGGGCAGCCCACTGGTCGCTAAGCAGAGTGTTAGACAACATGCCACTTTTCATTGCTCATTTGCCACTCATAGTTCTTTTACATATTTCTCCTTAATTTCTTTCTTTCATTATCCTTTGTAAATTCATGTACATTCTTAGTAAATCATTTTATTCAAGCACAGGGTCAGCAACATCATTTTCAACAAAATCATTTTTATTAGGCCTAGTCATTCATTTTTTCTCTCAGTTGTTTGTAATTTTTGTCTTGTTGTTTATTTTACAAAATAATAGGCTATGTGAATTTAAAATCTGTTTGAGGAAATGAAAAACTAGTTAGACCTTGTATGCAGGATAATAATCTGGGTGGTCCGAAGGTGGACCAGCAGTGGCATACAGCGAGCAGCCGGACCTTATCAAGCCAGCAGACGATATATGCTTGCTATCTGGGAACTGACTAAAAAACTGCAAAACAAAAAGTAAGGAATATGTTACTTGAATGTCTTACATGCATCAAGTGTCAGTATTTATTGGCCTTAAGCAGTATTACCCCCAGAGAAGCAAATATGTGGTACTGTTAGCTTAATGCTAACATAACACAGGAAATTGCATCGAGGTGCTAGCAGAAATTAGCATGATTGTTGCTATGGCAGTTTGGTGAGCAAAAACTACCTATAAGGTGAACGTTTCTGCATTAAACATTGCTATATTATAATATTGTTACATACAACAAAAATTTAAAATGTTCATGAAATGACTGTAATGCAAGGCTGACTGAAAGGTCTTGTCCTCCTCCAGCGGTCTAAAGTTGCTTAGCATGAACAGTTTATTCTAAAAGAACTAGATTTCTTGGTAGAACAACTGTTTACTGCAATTATTTTAAAGTGTAACTTAAATTATTTAACAATTTGTGCTTTTTATCATATTTTATGTTGCCACCGTTTTACAAAAGCAATAAGCCACCTGAGGCTGCCTGTTACTGTGATTTTACCAATGGGAACCTGACATAAAATCACAGTAATGCACACCTTCACATGGCTTAATGCTTTATTAGCCATCTTGATTACATAACAAAAAATATATAAAATCCTTCCAAACCAAACCTAGCATAAGGAAAACAAGCACAAAAATAAGAGTTAACTAACAAAAACTAACATAACCGCTGAGAATGCAAGGAAGCTCAAACCTCGCACCACATTTACATTATTAAAGAAGTGAACTGACATTCATATTTCACATTTCACAGCTGACAAATGACAATCATATCAGTATATAAAGCACCGTTTAGCTAAAACTATTGGCTGATATAATCAGTTGTCAGAATTTTTAGCTCCTTAAAATCAATGTATGTCATACTGAACTGAAATCTCCACACAATGTTTGGACATGCTCAAGCAGGGGGTCTGTGGCACACACCAAAGAGTCCAGTCTACAGTGACTGACATTTTGGCCTTGTCTGCGTCTGCCTGTGTCTACGCCATTGGAGGGGAGCGGGGTGAGTCACGCTGGCCTGCTCACTGTTATCAGTGCTCGTCACTTCAGTCTTTCCACTGGCTTCATTCCAAAGCTCTGGCACCACCAAGTCACCCACAGTCAATTCTCTTAGGGGATTTTCCCTAATGATGCCTTTCAAACTGGCCTTCACTGGGGCATTCATAAACTTGAGTTTTGTTCAAGCACCGTCCAGGATGACGTCAAGAGACGTCCTTCGTGACATTTCAGGCCTATATTAGCTTATATGGTTCTTTTTTATTGTGTTAGCATCTATCCAGCAGATAGATGAATGGCTGCTGGAAATTTCGGCTTCTACTCACTGCACAGAGCGATGACGTGGCTGCTGTCCTCGTGCACAAACTTCTTGGTGACCGCTTCCTCCATAATCTGCTTCACCTGCGAAACGAAGACACATATCATCATTACTGTGGCAAACGTCAGCGATAACAGCCTCAAATCCGTGCTGAAAAACTCAACAGCTCCTAATTAATCCTGACAGTGTAACCACAAATGCTTTTAATTAGTCATTGTTCAATTGATAAGTTTCCCTGGGAGTGCGAAGAGCTGTGTGGAATGAAGCTGCGTCAGTTTGGTCTGTCATTAGAGCCAAACTGTCAGTTCAGTCCCAGGCTGTCTAATTAATCACAGTTTCGTCCTGCCGGTTTTATCTTCGTGTACTTTTTTTTTTTTAAAGATAATTGAAACAAAGGGCCAGAGAACAGAGTAAATACAGCAGTGTGATACGGTGGGACTTGCCTGTCTGTCTGGACTCTACAAGTGTGCAAGGCTGGAGGCGGACAAGCAAAAGCATGACAGAGGCATTAAGGTGGATAAGAGCAACAAGTGAAATATAAAGTTACTTGGTCTGGATACCACAAGTTCAGCAACTGCTGGTAAAAATTAGACTTACTACTCTAGCTTGCCCCTGTCAAACTAACTTGTTGGTGCATTGTGAACTGAGAAGAAAAGATCCCATGTAAAAGATGACGAGCCCTGATCAGCATCCAACGTTCTACCAGCCAATGTTATGTTTGGCCTTTTTTAAACTTTTCCCCTCCCTACAGTAAACTGAATATCTGTTTGTTAACTAATTAACGGATACTCAGATATCAAAACTAGTCAGAATGCACACCTCTGTATTAGAGAGAAAATCTGAATCCTGTAACAAATCTAGCCTGAAATAGCACAATCTTATTGTGTGACGTGATGTTAGCTGTGTATTCTCTTCCTGTGAAGTTCTTCAGGTAAAAATACCTCATTTTAAAGCTTAGTGATGTTTAAAGAAAAGCTTATCAGGTCAGTATTGGTATCAGCTGCTACTCAAGGTTTTAAATATGGGTATAGGTATCAGCAAAGAAAAGCAGCATTGTGACATCTCTACTAAAAATGCAACCATTATGGCATCAGGTGGTGGCAACTGAGTGCAAGCAATGATAGCAAATAGCTGATTAGTTTCCTGTTCAGTTTTATATGACTGCAAAAAATGTATGTGCACAGAATTCCTCGATTTATCAGATTTATAATCAGTTTTGCAGCCTCACAGTTAGGGATGGGCGATACAACAATATATCGATAAATTACGCCATGATAAGCTTTTTCTGAGCATACTGTTCCTGTCCAACTGCATATATCATTAAAACGTGGTCCAACAAAGGCTCCCAAGTAGAATAGCGTCTAATGTTTCTATTGGCAGCATACTGCAAGAAAGCATCCTAACCACACTGGAAGTTCACAAGAGCACAATGTAGTGCAATGCACCACATAAAATGTTGAATTAAAAAAAAAAATCATTCTACTCATAGTTTTAATGACATTATTAAATATGAAATTACTGGTGCAATGATGCACTAATATGTTAAAACTTAACAAACATTGATACAGTGTATCATGAAACTGTCTTCAAGTATAATGGTTTTATATTTCTGCTTTACTTCCAGTAGTCAGGCTGCATAAGCTGCACCCAGATCTGTACATAAAAAGTAACCACAAGTGATGAAATTAATGTAAAAATAATGCTGCTTGAGAATGTCATCAGTTCTCTTTCCGCCACTGACTGTGGGAAACTGTCACGGCAAGAAAACGTGTTAAGCGTCTCCGTTGCTGCTGGCTGACACCTGTGCAGTTATTATGTTGCCTAGAAGGACAGACACTCAGCTGGCACTGACGCTAGTACATTTATTCAAATATTTTAAATATGCATTTGACACTAGAGTGGTTGACACGCATCCGATTACATTATGCATTTCTGATGGCGCGGCTCAGCAGGGTAGGACGAGAGCGCTGTGTGCAGAAGTAAATGTTTAATGCAAGCTTAAGGATTGTGCTCTGTGGAGCCTCGGATTGAACAGGGCCGCACATAATGGCGTTCAATCTCATTTTCCAGCTGAGCTGACAGCAGGAACAATGGCTTTAATGAAGTCATTATTCATGGATTATTACAGCTGGAAGATAAAGGACCATCAGTCGGTCGGTGCATACATGCTACATGGAGATATCGTGGCAACCCAGGTGCTTCACACATCCACTGTGTGACAGAAGTCAGTTTAGAAGCACTGCTATGTCTGTTATGAACATTCAGCAAACTGGTTATTGAGTGTGAAAAAGAACATGGTCTAAGCTGAGCACTACAACAATGAAGAGTTTGACAAAATAATGGAAACAGTTAATAAAGACCTTATATCGGGAAATGATTAAGTCTCAATTAAAAAGCAATATGCACAGGTTGTTCTTACTCATGTTCCTGCCGATTATGAATATGTTTCTGCTGTAAAACAACCAACAATGTCATTTTAAATGAAAACATCACTTTACTCACCCAAGTCCCAATATTAGACATAAAACAAATCAGAATTTCTGACAATGTAATAGTAGAGACGGCATATTGTTATCAGTGAGCATCGGTAGAAAATAGCAGAAAATAGCTCATTTTAAAAATCTGAAGTTTTAAATAAGTCGTTCAGGTTTGGTATTGGTCGAAATTTAAGGTATTCATTGGAATCGGAAAAGAAAAAAAGGAATCACGCCATCTCTAATGTACAGTCTGCGTGCAAGAAAACTGTAGAGGGAAAGTAGATGGGAGGAAAAAAATAAAATGAGTAGCTTAAATATTAGAACGTCAGGGGTGTTGGCTCAGATTTCGCAGGAGTTTTCGGATCATGTCATACGTCTTTTCATATTAGCGTCACATACGCAGGCTCAAAAAGATGGTCCGGCTCCATGTTTAGGTCTCAAATGCAAAATCAACATTATACTAATGAAGTTATGAAGACAGTAGTAGATCATTCACTTACATCCTCGGAAGACACGTCCTTCACTAAGTTTTGACTGAGTTCTCTTTGAATACTCTTTTAACATGCTTGCAATCATCAGATTCACCCGCTCGAGGAAGGGGTCCGAAGCACAACCTTCGGTATTACACAATGTTCCTCTGCACATTGTGTGCAATTACATATTTCCACCACGGAGGTCTCCAAATTCCCACAGTGTAGACTTACATTAAATCATTAATTTATACCAAATTATCTGGACATTCTTACTGAGCTGATACAGTGCAATATCATAAGGTGCTCCATTATGTAAGCTGGTAAAATGATTCCAAAAATCAACTAAAGAACAGTCGATGCACATCTACATCTTCTTACTTTCAGTTTTCAGCTACTCAGCATGAGAGAGGGTTCTTAACATTTTTTTCTTAGTTTCATTTTAGGAATGGGTCAAAATGAAGAGGTGAAACTGCTCTGAGCAACAAGCGACCCATTTATTAGGCCACTACTACCTCTGTGTGGCAGTAAGACAGAAGATCTTCCAGTCTTTTAGCCCTTTCTATTTCACAGCAAATTAGTTTTAACTATATAAATGAGATTGAGATGATCATCTTAATCAGAAACTATCACTAAAAGACTGCCTTTGCATAGGAAAACCATATAAATATGGACAAAGCAACATCTGTTCTGCAGGTTTACCCATATCTTTCTAAGTCAAGACCTTAATTTAAGGCATATGTCAGCAGACCACTGAAATATGATGTATTTCAGTCTCCATTATGGAGAGGTAAAGAGTAATGCATTTTGACTGAATATAGAAAACAAGGAAGACTAAAAGCAGCTGGTTTGGAGAAAGCCACCTTGGACAATCCCCACAGGCTGCAGCTGTATAAATCGTGCATTGATGCAATTGAACTTCTTAGGTAGCTGCTGATGCTTTCAGTTCCTAGGCAACAAGACTGTAGCTGACTGTAGCTTAAAGTGACAGACGCCTGAGATTAAACACAAAGACAAGAAGTAAAGGAGGATACTCCTTCACACTGCGAAAAGTCTGACCATTCCGAGTTATTCCTGACATACCAGACAGAAAATGTGCATTCCAGGCTTATAAATATCCTTTCTCTGCTGATTTATAGGTCTACATGGATGAAGCAGAAACACCACCTGACATTCAGGAATATTGACCCAATTACCACATTGCAAAAGAAATCAATACGCATTTGCAAAAGCTGAAAAGCACATGTGTGTGTAATTCCTTTGGGAGTACTTGGAGAATGTTCACCAGTATTCACCACTTTACTTTGCTATCAAAGGACATTAAAAGCCTGCTTTAGTGCAAAAAGGCGTAGAACTGCTTGACTCACCCTAACGGCTGAGAATCTTTCAAGACTGATAGACGAAATCTCTTTAAAACTTCATTAACAGGATGATGTTAAAAATTCATTTCCTTGTTAACTCGAGCCACTGCACTCCAGAGGGCACAGATGGCAATTACTCAGAACATAAGTCTGTGTCTCTTCAAAAAAGGGAATAAAGAGTGTAATATCTTCAGTTCACATGGCTTGATTTTGTACTGACTCGTGAGATTTGGAAGAGATTTGGGTTTTTCCAAGCGCCTTTTTGTTTTACTGCACTGAAATAACTGTTCTCCTGCAGTAGATTTACTAAGGGATTTTAGTTCTACTGCTTACATTGCTGTAAATATGAGGTTTATGACACATTTTAACTTTAGGTTCTGCCAGGCAACGATGGAGCCAAACCCAGCTAAGATCTTCTACATTTTATCCAAAATTATTTTCTGACAAATCTGATTTAGCTGATTTAAATCTTTTAAGGTTCTATTTGAACAAACACTTGAACATTACATCCAGGCTACAATCACCATGCATCACTGTAATGGGGAACATTACAGTAGGTGAGGGCAATTACTCAGAGCGCTGCTCTAAACCTGTTGAAAGCTGTGTGAAGCCATATTACTCTCCTTCTGTTTCGCATCCTTCCTGCAGCATTTCGTACAGTGTACTGCCAAGGGGTGGGTGATATAGCAAAAACTATTATATCACAATACTTCAAGAGATTTTCACAATACATGATATGCATCACGATATGTAGTTTTCCTGAGATTATATGAGTGCCACATATAATAATAATAATAATAATAATAATAATAATAATAAAATAATTTGTTTTACAAATACTCTGTACTAAAACCAATTTAAAATGGCCTAATTATGCTTTAATGAAACATATTGTAAGTCCGTGTTCTTTGAGATGCTCAGAAAAGCATATTGTGACATAATTAATCACAATAATGAGAAAATATCGTCATATTGCCCACCCCTAAGTACAACCTATTAACAGACACTCATTTTCTTTTGGATAGGATACCAAGAAATACCAAGGCTATTGGTAACGTTCTTGTGCACATAAAAGGGGAATTCTTTGTGATTCCTTGAGTAAAAAACAGTAAACGTAGACATCAAAATGTTATACGTGGAAGCCTTTGGAATAGCATTAAATAAACTGCCATGCAAACTGACTGTTTAGTGGAGTGAAATAGCTTCATATGATCTGCCGTTATAGAACATTTACTCTGTCTCAAGTTCCTGTTATACACATTCATTTTCATTCATTAAAAAAATAAAGATATTCAGTTTCCTGCTTCGCATATTTTATTGTGAAAACTGATTCTCAAAAAGCCACAATAGGTTTGTCAGTATATGCCTCAGTTTGGATCCGCCCACCTTTAGTGAGCACATAAATACTACTTCCTATTCACTATGGCTAAAGTAACACAGGCTAAAAGGCACTAGTGGTGGGAAATATGACGATATGTATTGCTATCGCGATGTCTTAAGTCGCGTGACGTAACAACACGCTTTTCTGAGCATCGTCAATACTTAAAGATCACTGAGCAACTGCTCATCATTACAAAGCCGAGCAGGCCTGTTTAATTGGGTTCAGTGCAGCTTGATAAAACAATGCATATCGAGAAAAAGTCTTCAAGTATCGTGATAATATATTATCGATTAAGGTATCCTCACAAGATCGTGACCCACTTCTTTGTAGGTTACATAGCCACATATACAACGAGGCCAAAGCCAACTATGACTCATAATGTAGTGGAAGTGAAGCAGCATGGCAGATGGTGCCATATCTGATCACAAAAATAGGCTCCTCTGATGAACGAGGAGAGAAACCCAGCGCGCAGTGTGGCTCAGTGTGGACTCAGCAGAGACAACACTGATTACACGAAGCTGAAGTCGGTGTTCGAATATTCCCGTTCGACCTTAAATGGTGCAGCAAGTACATGTAACTGCTGCACTATTTAAGGTGGAACGGGGAAAATTCGAACAAGAAGCGGGCGAATAGGAAGCCAACTTCAGCCTAGCGAGGTGTATGAGATTTATGAGTTTAGAGGTGCCTGATATCTGCTATCCAGTTCTCCACAGAAAAGCATGAAGCCACTCATGAGGTCTGTCCAGTGCCCCTTCATACAAATTGTTGGGGATTCAACAGGTAAGCGAATTGTTTATGTGAGACTAGCCTTGGTGAAGCCTTCACTGTTGCTCTACTAGCTCACAGTGTTGTCTGGTGTTGTCTTTAGCTGAGGGCACAACCATAAAGACACACACACACACACAAAAACACAGGAATGAAAAATGACATTTTCATAAGGTTCCTGTTGGACCCCCTAGGTAAGCTAAATCAGTCTAGCCTTCCTTAAATCCCACATCTTTAAACTCCACAGGGTCAGGGGCGGGAAAGGGCTTGTGCGGCTCTTAAAGCTTCCCCACTGAATCTGTCACAAACCAGTATAGCGAATGCATGCACTGCATCAGCATCCTCTCAAACTTCCAGTATGAAAGCCCCAAAAAGTGGCTGCATCAACATGTTAAACAGGGTGAGTGTAGGCTAATGAGAGCCGGTGCAGCAGCAGAGTGACTCCCCTCTCCCTGCTTCTTCCATGTTCATCAGCGGTGAGCAGCAGCCTCTCCACAGTGAAATATAAGCAGCACTCACCTCCCGCTTCACGTTCCACAGCAGCTTTTCTTTAAAGTCCTCGTCTGTTGACGAACCCATGGCCATTGGCGGACCGTTTGGGAACCGGCGTGCAGCATAAACTGGCTGGTCACACGTCTGAGGCTTTTGGGCTTTTGTCTGCCCTCCTCTTTCTCTCTCCACTGTTTTTCAGTCCTTCCTTCCTTTTTCATATGAACGTGTGTGTTGACAGCTGAGCGCTGACGCATCCAGGGACCGCTGTAGGCGTTGTTATTTTTTTTGTCTCCACCCGTATTGCGACAAGCCCCGCCCCTTTCGCGCTGGGATTGGCTAGTAGTTCATAATCACGAGCAATCCGCCGAAACATATAAATAGGAATATAAACAGGCAGGTATATTTAAAATGAATTAAGGCATTAATCGTTCAGTTTAATGACCCAGTCCGAGAGAAATGTCTGAACAGTCTTGTTAAACAAAAGGTTTTTATGAAGAGTATAAAATTATTGATAAAACGAAATGATAGTCACAAGAATAGTGAAAGGTATTATTATTTTTCTTATAATTATTACTAATTCAGTTTCTCCTCTACACCTTTAGATCTAATATTAAAACGTACACTGGAAATGTGGGAGATTTTGTGCTACAAATTCATTGGCATTGCAAATAAAGTCGTTGTTATTAAACTACCATCCTATCTAAGCGGAGCGGGCGGGGCTTGTCGGAATATGGGTGGAAAAAATCACAGGCGCCGAGTGGAGACATCTTCAGTTCGCTCCCAATGACGTCAGTCCGCGCGGCCCCGCCCACAGAGCGCTTCATCAATGAGACGTAGCGGCTTATTTATAGCTCCTCTTCACGCTGGAAAACTCAGCTGGAGCTGCACATGATCTTCTGAATCCACCACGTTTTCAGAGCCTCTCAATTATTATATGACGTTAAAAGGCGAGAGAAAAGAGACGGATGTTTTTAGGTGATGTATGTTCTTTTGTCATACCCAGGATAATCTGGCAACCCTATTATTTCTTTACTATGATTGTACAAGAGCTCTTAAAAACATTTAGTGCTTATTTTAGGAAGACAGGCCTAACAGACTGTAAAAAACCCATGCTGTTATAAATAGCTAAGTGGGTTATACAATGTTTTAATTATTAACATCATTTAAACTATACAATATTAAACAGACTAAATAGACCAAATGGTGAAGCTTAAATGGTGTATTAAAATGCAAACAGCAGTTCATTAAAAGGAAACTGTAGGGATGCAGATACAGACGAACACACACACGTATATATATTCAAAATTTTTATCTCTTTAACAAGTTCAGTATGTTAAGAGAAATGTTAGAGCAGCTAATAGAAAAGAAAAGGCACAAATAGTGCTGTTAAATAAAGGATTTTATGAAGAGTATGAAAGGCATGATAAAATAAATCAATTAACAAAATACACTGCATTTACCAAGAGTTATAAAGATATAACTAGTGAAGGCAAAATCACATTCTGGCTGCCTTTTTCACTCCAGACCTCCTAATTTTCCATCTGGTTCACACTGTTCTGCATTTTCCAAATACACAAGAAGGCTTGAATGTGCCTTAAGGCCTCTTAAAATGTGAATCAGGAAAACTCAAGGTGCTATGAATTCTTTAACAACATTCTTATGAAAGACTCTCAATTAGTCTCTATTAAAAAAAGGTTTCAACATTAAAATATTGAGGTAAATAAATAAAGTGTAAAAATGAGAATCAGTGAACTTTGCTCTGCGTCACATTGAAGGATCAGTTAACAAATTTCGAACCAAATCTGGGGCCTTTTCACAAAGCAGGATTTCTAGCTTAGCCAGCTAAGTTGAATTTGATCCAATCCTGGATTTCACTCCAGGGCTGGTGAAGTTCAGGATTTTCGTCAACAGCTGATGGACCAAACGGGGCCGAGTTCCTGACGTGCTGATGGGGTCGCTTTTTTCTTCATAATGTTTGTGGCTTCAATCACATGAAGGATATTCATGCTATTAATGAAGCCATACTGAGGCAGTCGTGTGCAAACGTTTCAGAGCCCCGGGCCAAATCACGTTTTATTGAATTTCTAAGTGAAAATAACACATCCTCCACAAAGAATACATTTCTGCACATTTAAATGCACTATTACTTTTGGTTTTCTGAATTTATCATATTGTAAAAGAAATAAAACATAAAATGCAAAAGTTCTGTGCAAAAGTTATGGCACATTTATATTTTGAGTTTGTGCACAAAAAATCTGCAGAAAAGGTCAAATTTCAGTTTGTTAACTTATTTTCACTTAGAAAATCAACAAAACAAGTAGTTGGACCAGAGGTGTTCAAACTTTTGCATGCAACTATAGATATTAAGAACATATCGCAATTATTAATGCAACAAGCACTAATGCAGTGGCTTCTTTTTTAGTGATTTAAACAATTTACTTTCTACACATTTACACAGATTTTCTATTTGTTAAATAAGCCTGGGTTATCAGAGAAAATTGTTAACGGCCTTCGTAAAACTAACCGCTGTTCGATTTGTTAGGCTTTGTGAATCTGAAATTTAACAACTCTGAACCTGCTTTGTGAGACAGACCCCTGGTTTTTAAATCAGTGGTATCCTGTTGTACTTCTTTAAATATTAATTTCATATAGTGTCCGTTGAGATAGTGTCTGTACAGTTTCAAAACGTTTTAAAGGAGGTAAAATTTCAATGTACATGATCATGACAGTGTCTACAGCTGGTGCTTTTTTCACTAAACAACTAAATGAAGTGACTGCATTTCGCTTTTTCCCCCACAGTGAATACCGAAACTGTTTTTAAGTCTTTCAACCAGATTGTCAGGATAACACGAGTCCACTGAGCAAGCACGTAACCGTGATGTGGCAGTGATTTAAACAGTGGTTAAATAGTGTCTAAGAAGAGAATTGCCAGTAGTGTGGTATTTCTCACAGACGTTTGACCGTGGGCGAAAGCTCACACTTCCACACTGTTCAGTACGCTTGAGTAATTGTCGTCAGAAAATTGGTAGGTGTGCACCCCCCCACTTTTCAAACACCCATACAATTCACCACTTTCAGAATTCGAGTTAACCCCTTAAAGCCTAAGGACCTGTACGTGAGCCCACACGTTAGTCCCGCACTCTTAACTTACATACTAATCACTGAAAAATGTCTTAAGATTAATAACTGAATAATAAGTCTAGGGCTCCTGCAGTTAACCGTTTAAAATCTGAGGCTCATCACATCCTAAAGGAAGAGCTGAACAATTTGGGGAATTGTGATACAGAATTGTGTTTTATTTCTGATCCAATATTGTGAATGTTATTTAAAGTGTGATTATTTCCTATAAAATAAAGTCCAGTCTTGTTAATTTGGCCAAGCTGCACGAAGTGTGTCAGACTGCCAACTGTGTTGTCATGTACACAGCAAACTGTACACAGGCGTTTGGTTGCTTTCGACTGGCCTAACCGGTCATTAACAGGTAGTGATGGTAGTAAAAAGCGAGACAGTCTAGAATGTTTTACTTCTTTTGGAATTCTTGTGCTTGAAGCAGTTTAAAAACAGTATGAAACACAAGCTCTCTGCATCGCCATGTACTGGATTCAGCTCGAACAAATCATGACTTGTGCCTCTGCATAAAATAATACTGACTACATGTGTCTTATTCTCATGTGTAACTGATACTGTTACCTTATGTGATGTCAGGCAGACCTGAACAATTTGGGGAAAATATCGAATTACAATTTTTCTGATCAATATTGCGGTTGTGGTTTAAATGTGATTATTTTTTATAAATTAAGCTCCAGCCTTTCCTTCCACTGAGGAAGACCAATGCATTCATTTTTTTCCAGGCCTGAGGCTGTCAAGCTCTGCATTATCAGGTAAAATTTCCAAACTCACAAGCTATAAAGACGATGTTGAATAATGTAGGATTTAATTACAAATTACAGCTTCTGTGATTTGAAAATTGCACTCTTGATTTTGATATGAAAATGATTAATCTTACAGCCCTACAGGTTTCGAAACTTCATTTTGCTTGAACAGTTCAAATGATGCACAATGAACCTTATCATCTACAAAGTCCACAAGATCCATGTTATAAGGTTAAATTTCCCCACTTAAAACTTCAAACAACTGTGTTGCTAATATAGGCTGTAATTAAAATTGCAGCTCTTGCGTTTTGAACATGGAACTCTTCCAAATTGAGGTCTTGTTTTAAAAATGATTCATCATTCAGCTCTACCTACAGGTGTGATATTCAGCAACTGCATAGAAAAATATGCAAACTGGCTGAGTTATTCTTAAGTTATACGAGCGCACAATAGAAATCTAGACAAGGCAGAAGGTCCTGACTGGTTAGGGGGTTAAGTGGAATTTAAATGAGCGACATCCAGAAATAAAGAATCCCATGAAGCATCAGCAACAGACATGATACCGCTGCCCAAAACACATGCAATCATGGTGCACACAGTACGCGTAACTTTCAACTTTTCTACAGCGTGGTTCTGGATAAAGAATATAATTATTCTTTCTCTGCATACCTCACACTCCACAGTGTACCCTAAAAGCGCTCTGTACAGAGCACAATGTGAGTGCCTAGTACACAGTGCGAGCTCTCGCCCACAGCCGGACGAAAAATAGAGGCACAAGTGGAGAAGATATCTGGAAGAGCAAGTACAACTCAGTCCTCAGCATAGCTAATGTCCAAGCGGTCTGTCGTCGTAGGTGCTGTATCTCTTGATGTGTATGCGCCGGACGCGCTCCCTCAGCTCCACGCCCTCGTCCTCCTCGCTGTTAGAGCAGCAGTGGGCACGACGGCGTGTGGCCTCCAGTAAAGAATTGTCTGGGACTGGAAGTGTCTCATAAAGCAGTGCGTTCAGCGTCTCCTCGTAGATCCGTGCTTCGGGAAACTCAACCTGAAACAGACCAGCAAATGAGAGCTGTGCAAGGGAAGTTTTGATGCTGTTAACATTTGGCCTCTGGAAGGGAGAGAGGCTTGAAGCAGAGAACTTGTAGAAAGGTGAATTACCACTCTGTAATGCCTTCCAGGTTTCTCAAACAATAGAGGGTGCTCCCGAGCAAGTCCAAAATGAATGGGTTAAGATGGAGCATTTGAGCAAAATCATAGTTTATAAATGCTTATACATTTTTAAGGCAAAAGAATACAATCATTTCCTGAACTTGAAGTACAGGAGTTTAAAACGGCGCCTCATGTATGTTCATGATGTCTGTGAGCGAGAACAGCCAATGAGCTGTTTCCAAGCAATCAGCACTAGCATCCTGCTGCCCAAAACATGTTTGCTGTAGAAAAAAGGAAATATATGGGTAAGGTTTCTATGCTTTTTTAGTGAAATACATCCTTCTACTTTCTAAAACTAAAACTATTAGAAACTATTTTTGCTTTTCGTTTTTAGCCGTTTAGCTCCATTCACCCCCATTCACTGAGGACGCGCTCACGGGTGCCCTCTGGCGTTTTGCTGTCATGTTTTTGATATGACGGGGGCATAGGAAGAGGCCAGGCTCCGTATAGACCGCCTCTGCTTGAAGCACAAGCTTCTTAACTTTTTGTCCATGCACTGATTTTGAGAAAAGTCACACGACTCCTAAACCTCCAGTGGCTTTTACCAAAGGTAAATGATTTCCGATTAACATTTAGGAAGTTAGTCACAGTTTATCAAACTGGCAGAAATATCAATGGGTCCACTGTTTGTTCATTGTATGTAACCATTACAGTACAAGCCTACAGTGGACCAATTGGCTGTTTAGCTTCCTCGACCCAACAAGCTCAAAGAAAACAATATTACTCACCGCTGCCCTCTAAAAGTGTTAACAAACATTATTTACAGCTGCCCTAAGGTGATATAGCAACAAGTCAGAAAATATGACTTTTGTTGTTTTCATAAGACCCATGACTTTTGTCCCATGAATGTGGTTTCTGAATTCGTTTATTGCAACATAAACATATAATTGTAAAAGACAACCACTGTGGAAAATAACTGGAATCAGATCAAAATAATTGCAATTGGCACAAATTAATATGATAATTGTGACGATTCTAGCACAGTCCTAGTCCATTACCATTCTTATTATCTTAACTTTAACATCTGTAAAATATTTCTTTCACAAAAATAAAAAAACAGCAATCTATGCCAGTAAATGATGGATAGGATTTTCATATAGCCTCAATTTCCAAAAAGTCACGTTTGCGTGTAATTGTTAACTTGACATTTTCCACTCTTAACCTCTTGACTCATACCCTTTTTTAATGCTTTACATAATCCAATTAAAAAATGGACAATCAATAGTTAAGATGCGCTGGAACAAAGTGCCAAAATCTAATGATATTTTTTATGGTAATGAAAAATAGAAACAGTGCTTAAAAAAATGCTGTTTTTTTTTTCTTTTGCTCTCCTGTGCCTGTCAGTACAGACTCATTCAACATTCTGATACCTTCTATAGCCACAGATTTTTTTTATTTTTTTTTTAAGTGGCAGAAACATTCACAAATGACAGAGCCCGGTATGGCTACAAAAATTATGCAATTGGCTTGGATAACAAACTGCTTTCTGTTGAGGATGCTGGATTTTGCAGACACAATAATTACTGTAATAATTTTATAAAGTTTATATTTGGTTAACATTTGTCAGCTCAGTTTTTGTCATTTTAAAACGATAAAGTCTTATTATGTAACTCACTGAGTTTGTAAATGACACTGTGTGTTTACATATTTATAAAAATAATAAAAAGCAAGAACATCTGCACACAGCTGAAAAAAGATGCAGGGAGTCATGCAATGTTTACTGACTGACTCATAGCTGACTTCATACATTCAGACATTCAAAACACAGTATTAGCTTTTTATACATGATGGGAACCTAACTGTGGTGCAACAGCTGTTTTTATGGACAGATGTTCATTCGTCATCTGTGTTTATTAAGCTGTATATAGCACAAATTAAGCACTTGATACTGCTTAGATAACACGGTGACATTTTAAGCATCACACTAGTTACATGATTTCATTGATAAACAGAAGTTGAAAGCGCTGTAGTTATTTCTATACTCTATACATTTTTGCTAATTATATTTTTGCAAAAAGTCAAACTCCTGAGCTTGACATTAACATTTGCTAACTTCACTGTACATAACATTACCTATGTATGACAGTTTGGGAATCACAAAGCTAAGAAAACTTGGAGCTTTAAGAGGATGAATAACTCCAAGTGCAAAGTCATATGGTACATACCTTGGTCTGTTTTTTCTCAGTAGCATAAACAATGGATGTGCAGCAAACTTCTGCTAATTTGCGGCCCTGTCCGTAGAAAGACCAGCAACAGATCTCGTCTCCAATTACGTCCTTCATGAAGAGCACACGTCCATTGTAGCTCAGGGATAGCTTCTCAAACAGCTCGATGTTCTTCAGCAAGTTGTCATCAGAGTTGCTTTCATAAAACAGAATATAAATCAACAGTTCAAACTGGGCGAAACAAAGTCTAAATGAAGAAAACTGGATATCATAGTCCAGTAAACATAAATAGATGTCACACTTGAATCAGTACTCAAAACACTTAAATGCTTCCCATTACTCAAACTTACCTGGTATAGGAATACTTGTTGTTGCCTCGATTGTAGAGTAGCTTCACTACAGGCTAATACAAAGAACATCAACAGAAAACAGTGATGCATTAAGGTTTCATTCTGCTTGTCAAATAAAAAAAAATACATTAATTACTGTATTATTTTAGAGATCAACGTGAGTAAAACCTCACCCGCGTACAACCCTGTATTAATCTCTCCTCTTCTTTTGGGGAGGTGATGATGGGGATAACACACAGAGCCTTCTGTTGATTATCCTGTGAAAATGAGAAAACAGCAAGAAAGCTTGTCACTTATGTCAGTCCCAAAATCATAAGAAAACTACAACTGAGGACACATTTATTTTCAGCACAGTCCAACATACAAGACAAGCATTTAAGATTCATTTAATGATAGTCATAACCTACTCAAGGTACCCTGTGTCAAACATTGAATGAGACACCCCAGGCTAGCTGAAATAAGAAAGAATGACCACATGAGCTCAAACACTGCACAAAATAGACCTCAGAAATCACAGAGTTCATGCAGGTTTTCTCCATGTGAAAAATCAATGGCGTTTTCGAAAATCATGGCTTTCGTGTCCTGCAGTAAACAAAAATGTTCCAAACCTGACACATTTTCTACAGACTACAATTTACTATTAAACCTCCTCACTATAATATAATACCACTTCTTACGCAAGCTGCAGCCTACAGGAACTTAATTACCATGTTTAACAAAGCTTACTGATGTGTGTGGGGTATTTTGACGAGGCTCACAGTCTTATGATGTCAATTCAGTGCATAGCAGGGTTAGCTTGCACGTTGCAATATTCATATTTCAGCTCCTTAATGATGTATTTCAGCAAATATGGAAACATTCGGAGGAAAAACTTACATACAGAAAAGCACATTGGCTTTGGAACAGTTTTGTTTAAAACAGGATGCGACAGCGGCGAGTTTCGAAAACACCATTCATTTTTCTTAGAGACAAAACCAGCTACATTACATTAACACATGCTACATTAACACGGCTCAGGTCAGGGAAGTGCAAAGGAGTGAGCGTGAAGGAGACTGCAGGAGAATAAGCAGCACTTGCGAAAAAGTTAGCTACAACATGTAACTAACAAAGTTGTCCAGGCTGAATTTGCTTTCTCTTAGTTTTAAAGAATGCCTAGTTGCAGTTACCCTAATGATTCATCTAATATTTACCTAATAGATGAGTACTGAGAAATATTCTAACAAGAAGCTGGGCGAGGAGGAGGACAGACTCATTGTTCAGGTTCCCCGATGTGTGTAAATTCACAGAGAAGCAGTTTGCGGTCATTTAGCTTGCTTAAACCATACTGAAATACAGTCTGAAGAAACTGCTGTATCTTAGAGAAGTGCATTTTGGTCATCAGTGTTTAATATTCAAGTAAAAGATGTTATTCAAGTCTAACTTCTGTGTTCAACCTCTTTTGCCAGTGATTATGGTTTCTTTTCTCAGTCTTTTGTGGGGTTTATTCTCCTCACAGAACACACACAAAGCAGCTGGTAGGCTGTAGTGCAACCTACTGTGGCAAAAAGGCATCATCCTTTACAGTACTGACAAAGACGCCAGGTTAAAACTGATATAGGCAGCAGTGAGACCACCGATTATATTTATTTTCACGACAGTATATAGTTTCACAGGAGAAAAATACATCATTTGCACTAATCACAGAAATACATTAAGCGTGCAAATTAAAAAGTGTTATTAATATTAGTGTTAACGTTTGTATGGAACTGACACACCTACATAGTCTTACATTTAATAATGTTATAACCAAGTACAATCACTGTATTTAAAAACAAAAAGGCTTCACTGACCTGAAGGGCATGCTGACACAAGTCTATCAATCCCTGGATATGATAGTACTTGGCCTCTGCCAAAAGCTCCATGATACCCTGCCTGCTCTTGGGCAAGGTCAGATTTCCGTCCCTCAAGTAGCCGAGTATTGACCCAAAGTGCTTCCCACAGCGGTCTATCAAAATCCAACCTGAGGAGAACAAAACACTTTCAGACCACAAACACCTACATTAAAACTAGGGGTGTAAAATGCATCAATGGCCAAAATTAAATTCTTGTGCTATTTTCAAATGCAAATAATAAAAATTAAAAAATAAAAACTCCTAATGTACTGTATATTGCAGGACTGGGTAAACATCAAGTTACATCTGGAATGATTGCAACTCATATCAAAATAATCAAAATCAGGCAAAATCTGAGATTTCATGATGCACTAAATTGTTTCTTTTAGTGTTGTAAATTTAATCCCATGAATTACAGCCCTAATTCAAATGAACTTCTGTTCACCAGCATTCTCCGGCATTCACCTTCCTTGTCTGTGAAAACTTCCATCTTGCCGCTGAACATTGACTTCAGCAGGCTGTCCTGCCGTGTCAGCACCTGCACGGTGGAATAGTACAGGACTCCACCCACGTTGAGCCGCACATACTTGCTTCCCACAGCACCACGCTGGCTGTATGTCTTGGTCTTGGGGCAGGCCACTGGAGAAAGTGAAACAATGGGAGTGACCTGAGGTGAATGTTGGTGCAGGCAGCTCTCTCCCGACATGTCCCTCTGGAGATAGATGACCACCCTGCACACAGTTGGCTTGATGTCCCCCGCCGTGGTGAATGCTTCTGGGGAAGCTGCCAAAGCAAGCAAACTCCACTCCTTCACATATCTAAAAGAAATACACAGAAAGATTTACTTTATTGACCCCTGAAAGGAAATATGGCGCAGTACATTAATCCATTCTTACTGTCCACAGATCACTGCAGTATGATCAGATACCCATACACAACAACTACCATCCAGAAATCGAAAGTTCCTGCAATTTTACACAGAACCTAAACTTGATCGCTGGCAGCAATAATAAAATTTATATACATAATCATTGATATGATGACACTTACCAGGTTAATCACAAGAAAGAATGTCTTACAAACCTTACACAGCCGCTTTGACTGGCCTATTTTGTTCCGTTTTCTTTTTTTTTTTTAATAATCACACCAAAACGAACTTTCTATAGTGGATTTCTAAATGCAGTGCTGGATGTGGCTATTTTGTGGAGCAGAATGTTATCATAGATAACGTCTAGCCATCAATTCTGCTAAAACTAGTAATTTGAATTGTGGACCGACGCCAATATCTGATATTTATCATCTTCATATCTCCAGATTCCAATGTTGATGCCGACAAACAAACATGTCTAAAAAGCAGAAATTGGGACCACGTTATCCTGGATTAACATAATAAAGAAATAAGGTACAATAACTTAATAATACACAGTACTGCGCAAAAGACAATGACCACCCTGCACCCTCCATCCAGCAGCTTGCTTGATTTGAAAATGTTCCTTTTTTCGTCCATTTCCTTTTTTCAGTAAAAGCTTCCAGATACACATTCTTTTAGATCCATAGTGTTGACTTGTTTTCTCACAGTGGAAGGATGGACAGAAATACCTGTGGATTTTTTTCAGATCTGAAGTAAAAGTGGAGCTTGATTTACTCCTCTCTCTCAAAGACAAAAGCTTTAAGTGCTGTTTATATGACGTAACAGTTTTGGTGCTCTACCAGGTCTTGCAGTTATTAAGAGTCTCATTGTCTCTATATATTTTATAAATTACATTGTACTAAATGGCCTATACTGAATGTTTGACTGGAAATGAAATAAATTAAGTGTGATCTCTGACTATTGCACAGCACTGTACCTCAACCATTAGCCTACACTAGAGCACCAACTTGGTTGTGGTAGTGAGTAAGCAAGCATTACATTGTCATTCATTTAGTCACTTAAGACAACTCTGCTAAAAAGAGACCAGTAGACATGAAATTGGCTTAATGGTTACCATTAGAGATCACTAATCTCCTGTTGGACACCTTTAGATCCCACTGGGAAACCTTCAAATGCATCTGTAATCAGTTCCAGCACACCTGCTAAACCATTAGGAACCTTCACACCCCATAACCCAAGGCCCGCGGGACAATCCCATACGACCCGCGAAATTTTGTTTTTTTTATTAATATCAAACCATTTCAAAATCCGCTGCACTACAATCCCCAGCATGCACTGCAACATAATATGCCCCCCCCACCAACAACCATAAATGGGACAACGGATACACCCACCATAAATCTACACAGTTTCACCTTAGTCATATTACCAAACACGCTATCTGCGTTTCAGCTGCAGTTCAACCAATATAAGCACTTTTTATTTAATATTATTAATATTTCATGTAATTATTCAAGGTCAACTACAAGTGCCTATATTTTGGTGTTGACGTTTTGGTGCAATATGAATAAACAATGGCCAGTTCGGGTTATACCAAAACGTATATGTTATTTAAAAATGAAAATAAAACATAGCTTTTTTAATATGGCCCTTTCAGTGGTTGAGATTGACCCCCCCCCCTCCTTTTTTTCACTTTTCACTGTGATGTCAACCCATCAGGAAAACACAAAACACCATTGCTAACTATTGGACACCAACAGGAACCCACAGAAACTTTTTTTTTAACCAGGAAACTGTCACACTGGAGGGCTGGGGCAAAATATTTTTGCACTGGAGCCGTAAAGATCCTAGTTGCGCCACTGCAAACGCCCATATTCAACAGGGCTATCCAGAAACACTGCGTTTCAAACTCAGAACCTGCATAAAACACACCACGAGCAAACCTACAAACCGGAGCCAAATCGACAAGGAGCGCTTGGTAGAAACTCCTGCATTTCGTGAACAGAGTTAGCTGAAGTTAGCTTTAACATAAACTCCTCTAAAGCTGAACACCGACTGTGAATAACACCGACCGTAAGTTGAACAGGGAGCTCTCCAGCTTGTAACAACAGCTCGTCCTTCTCTCTGTCCGGCTTGTGACCACCGAGATTAGCTAGAGACCCTTTCAATTCTGTGTCAAAACAAATAAAAACTAAAAGTTTAATCGGACTAATAAAGATGAATTTCTCTCAACATAGACAGTTTCGGACTGACAAGTGTGTAACAAAAGAGAAAGTATTAGAAGACTTCTGAGCGAGTAACTCACGCTGTGCTGAACATTTTTCTACATCAGTGGACTCAGACTCTGACTCTGACTCTGGTTACTAAGCTGTTAGCTGTCTCTAACCTACTTAGCCACAGGCTTTAGCACCAGTAAGCTAACTCCCGCCCCTCGTCGGCACTAACATTACCTCAGAACTGTTCAGTAACACAGCGTCTCCACTTCACATGTCCGTTAGAGGTGACCGAAAGACCAGCGCGTAAATATGAAACGGAGCTCGCTAAGTTGATGTCGAGGTTGTAGACAGTAAACCCGTCGGTGTGGTTAGCTAGGTTAACTCCGTCAGTGCTCTTTCTCTTCTCCTGTATTTTGCTGAGCGAGAATGAAAGTAGAATCACTCAAAGTCGCCCTACTGCCACCCACTGGACACTCCTTAACCACTGTAGTTCTTGCGAGGAAAGTAGTGGGCTGGATCCCAAATTGCTCCCTATTGGACATGTAGTGTTCTAACTAAGTGTGGAAGCCCGTTATTGAATGGCCTTTATAATGTAATGTACTTGATTAGGTGTAAGGGGCCCATTAGAAATTCAGCCATGATGTAATCAGATATGTACACAATTACGTACTTGTAGACATGCAACGCACCAATAAGCGGTGCATCTAAATAAAACTTCCTTGCCTTGATTTTCTGGCTGATCTGGTAACCATGTGAATCCTATGGAAGCCCGTTTCCGCCACTTAAAGAAAAAAAGGTCATACAGTACATAATAACAGAGATAATAATAATTATAATTAGTATCTCACTGTTATGAGAAAAAAATTCTCATTATTATGAGATAGTAAGTCATTATAGTGCTGCCAGTATAAGGAACGCAGATGGGAAAGGAGGCTTTATTCAACCATTCAGACGAAATCTGAGCCCTTCAATCTTAATGGCTATTTCATTTTTTTATCAAACAAAAGCAACATTCAGTCTCATATTTCTTTTCAGTGTGTGGAGCACACACCATTTTCCTGACTCCTACTAATCTAATTTCCACCCAAAATGTTCCAGTAACCACAGAAAAAGATTACCCTAATCTGAAGAATATTTAAATGAATGATTCTCAAAATAAAAATCACCCTCCAGAGCACGCCGGCCCTGTATTAAATGTTCTCCATTTTATACTGATGTCTCATGAATAAGGTATAGTTAACTAAGGGGTTAAATAGTGTGCAAATAGTGTGTAATACTTTGCCGTACTGTGGCTTTTTTCCACTAGAATGGAGCGGGAGTACGGTTTTCAGGGGACTTGTATTTTGAAATATATAATTATATTAGGCATTTAATGTTTTAATTAGCGAAAATAAAGCATTATTTTCTGCTGCATCGTCGTTATTACATGAGATTTCTCACTGACGGTGACACTTTTCTAACGTTACTTTAACGTGTGGAACTTGCCGTCAGATGTCATGGCCACTTTTATCTGCTCTGGAAGGTCAGCGCTGTCCGTTGGCGGATAGGTCGAAAGACAGAAAGGACCGCCTTCCAGGCGCTACGACGACACCGGTTGGTCAGCACGCTTGTCAATCAAACTATATTTAGCCAATCATATTCATTTGTCCTTTCCACTCGCGTCGGAGCGACGAGCCGCTAGCATTCAAGATGTCGGCGGTGTCGTTGTTCCCCATGTGTGTGCGGGCGAGCCGGGGCCTCCTCAGGCTCAGGAGCGGAGCGGCGCTGGAGGTGGTCAGGGCGCTGTCCACCCAGAGGTCGACGGGAGGAGACAGCAGCGCTACCGGCGGACTGGCTCAGGCCATTTTACAAGAGAGACTACAGCAGCAGCAGAGGAGTCAGGTAGGTTAAGGTTAGCTGGAGCCAGCTAATGTGGTTTGACGTTTCTCCGGGCTTATCAATTAGCCGGTTATGACATTAAGTCAAAGTTGTATTAATGAAATACTTGGAGTTCTCTGTGTGAAAGACTTTAGTCGTAAGTTACAGAGCTGTGAAGAAGATTTTCTAGCTCTTCAGTATCTTTAATGGCACTGTTCAGGTGGCATCAGTTTGAATGAAGTCATGCCATCATGTACCGGCGCGGATGCAACATTAGCTTCCCTACTAACCCAGGGTTACATACCGGGCTTTCTTGGATGTTAATACAGACTTCTTGGCAGATGTATTCTATGTTCTGTCCATTTAGTGTGTAGTATGTAATATTTCCATACGCTGCTTTATCATGTTTGCAGTTGTTGGTTCTTATAAGACTCCATCCATGTGGATACTGTAATACTAAAGTCTAGCTGTTGCTGTAATACTAAAGTCTAGCTGTTGCTTAGTTAATATATGCAGTCTATTTAAATATAAGCTGCTATTAATGAATGGGCTGTTTTATATTAGACCCATGTTTTTGAATTTAAGTTACCTGATTTATGTGAAACATTCCTGGATAATAACTTGTATTATTTTGTAGGGATTGCATTTATGTATTGGCTACTCATTAGTTGTCAAGTCTACTTGACAAGTATCCAGTAAGTCTACTTATGTCATTCCACCTATGAAGTGATGCTGTCATGGGTAACGTGTGTAATGTTAGGAGTTTGTGGTAATGGCTGGAGTTCTTGCTCAGATTGTGATTTAGTGATTCAGGATCTGGCTCATATTTGACAGAAAGGTGGATGATATTTTGTAATGGTTAATGAGTTTATCTGTCTATTCAGGGTTAAGTGTAATAACTAAATTGAACAGTATTAAACCAGCCATGGCTTTCGCACTAGTCATAAGACCATGACCTGTATTTTGAATGGAAAATAACAATAATGGAAATTACAGTTTGGGGTTTGGCGCACTTTGAGTCTGGTGTGATTATTCGTTCACAGGGCCAGCCCCCTCCTGAGGGGGAGGAGACCTCTGACCAGAAGCGAGATGACCAAAGCGAGGACAAGAAACAGAAAGAAAACACAGCGTATGCTAAGAAGGTGGTCCTTCGCCTAGCGGGGCTTATGGGACTTGGCGGCGCAGTCGGCGTGGTGTACATATTCGGTGAGTTAATCCTCTGGCACTTTTTCTGGGAGGAGGACTCAAGCATTTGACTTAATAGGCTTGACTGGGTTTAAAGGGAAGAGCATTTTCACCGAAGGCATTTGGATTATTTTAAGCGTTATCTTTGGACATGTGGAATATACCATGGATTAAATAACGTCAAGACGTGCTGCCATTGAAGGTGAAGATCTCCAAATTACATGAAGTATCACATTTATTAACTGATAAAATGATTTTGTTGTATTGTATATTGTAACAGTTTGTTTGGTTTCAATTTTGAATGTAGTTCAAGGAAACCAATTTAGCTTGAATCTGTGTATCTCCTCTATTTATTATTGTCTGTCTAGCAAGATACAAATAAACACAGCTAAAAGTGATTTTTAACATAAAGCAATAACCTTTTGTAAAACTTCATATATGATGTTCAAATCTAAGCATATGCATAAATGAATAAAATGAATATAAAGTAGTGTTAAACAGGTTTAGGCTTTTCTATGATGTTTCTCTTCACTTGAAGGTACATGCAACTTGCAACATTTAGGTGAAATATGGCTATGTTAGCCACATTTATGTGTGTGTTTTGGCAAATGTTTGATTGGTGTTTCATTGCTGGATTGAATGTGAAATAATTAGGGGTGCACCGATGTGGGAATTGTGATAACTGATATTTTTCACATACATAGCGGCTGATGCGGATACAAAAACATTTAAAATGTCCACCTGGATTAAATATAACATCTATTTCTAATGGACTACAAATGCAGTAAAATGAATGAAATGCAGACATATTTGCACAGTAGATCAGGGTCACCTAGGCATTCTGCTCTTCCTGAAGGCAAATGTGTCATCAAATATTGATGTATAATATTGATTAAATCTGTTGTCCTTGGTTAACTGAAGTTTTTGGTGCTCCTGATAAAGAACTGTAAATTAAATGGTCACTACAGTCTGACTAACATGTTTCCTTTGCCTCTGTAGGTAGCAACTCTGTGGATGAACAAGGAAATAAGGTAGGCACAATTTTACAGAACAAACAGTGAAGATGTACGTCAATATCTACAGACTGCACATGTTTACATTTGTCCCATGTCGTTCAAGTGTTTAAATTTTAGTCTATATTAGGGCTGTATGATGCATCATATTGTTATTATCACAATATGAATTTCTTCGATACATGTATCATTAGAGCGGTGATGACAGAATAGATCAGATTACGTCGTACACACAGCGCCAGAGATGTCATTACATTGCTGGCACAAACTGTTAGAATTTCGCTAATTAGCTAATTTAACAGTGAACAGCGTTATAAGCTGCTGTAAGCAGAGAATTTTTGGAAGTGTGAGCTAGAAAGAAATGATAGGGCTGTTTGTTTTTTCTCTGGCTAGGACTGACACACTGTTTCACAAAGAAATCTACAGTCAAGTCTGTCAACAGCTTAGCCTACACCACTCAACTACCGGAACGTTAAATGTTGGCTAATTACAACAAGAGCATGCGCATATCATTAGTATAGCATAGTAAATTTTTAATTTGAATACAGACTCTTGGAATTTGAATATTACTACTTACCCACCTCCCCACCCCCCATTAAGGTAGTCTAGGCTATCAAAATGTCCTAATTATTCTGTCGCCTCAAGCATCATCTTGTTCGAAATTTCCTGTCCCGCCTTAAATAGTGCAGCAGGTACGTTCTGGTGGCTCAGGCTGGGAGATAAGAAGCTGATTTCAACCTCATAGTTTTAATGCTGGCAGGATTTTTTGTTGAGGTGATTAAAGCTATCAGAAAATTCTACCTATAGGTTTTTTGCACAGAGCTACCTATAAATATATAAACAGAAGATCTCTGTTGTAGAGTACTCTGCTCAACTCTGCTTGGGTCAGCTGATTATGATTTGTGGCGTTCATATCACCGGTAATGATTTATCTGCATTGAGCTCATATTGGCCGATAATATCGGCACACCGATTTATTGGCCAAGCTCTAGTGCCTGTGTAAAACTAAATATATATTTATTTGTTTTTGAATCCTTTTTGAAAAACAAAAAGCTGTTCAGGTAATACTGACTGTTTCTTAGCCTTTCAGTGCATAAAAATGTGCTTGCACTTCTGATGTAAGTAGCTGTTAGTAGTTCATTTCTTTTTATTTTGCACGTAGTTAATGGTGCTTTTAATTTTTCAATTTTAGTATTTTGCTGTTTGCTTAAAGGAGATGTTATATTTCTGTTTACACACCCCCAAAAAAAGGATTGTACTGGCATCACATCCAGTCAGAGCTGTTTTAATAATAATTTATCGCTTTTCATGCTGTTATTGTGGTATCCAACAGCTTTATTGAACATAACGTTTTATGTCAATATCGTACAGCCTTAGTCTATACAGTGTCTATATGAGAAGGTAGAGTTTTTGTCGCAGTACTTTTTGACAGGCTTCAAGGTGTTAAGTCAGTTAGAAGCCCTCAACAGTGCTGTGGTAGGTAGTGAGTTGTAGGGCTTTTGTGGCACACTTCCTCACTTATTCTCTCCTGCAGAGGTGCCTCTCTGACACCCCCTGCCTTACTGAAACTGTAGGCTGTGTTAGATGTTACAGGTGGTGGGCTTGTCGCTGTCACCTCAGTGGACACACTTCTCAGCTCAGTGTGAATGAGTGTGTAGTGATCTCAAAGAGCACACTTCTCACACTTCTCAAGGTGAGACTCTTCAAAGGGCACACTTCACAGGGAAGTGCAGTCTGTGAGGAGACGAGTGGAGTGTGCCAGGGGTCTAGGTGTTGGATCTCATACTTGTCTCCCCCGTATGCAGTAGCCCTATGATATGCTAAATGGAGGATGCCAGGATCGTTGTGAAAGGGCTGCACATCCTGGTCTGACAGTAATTGCTCTTTCTTCCCCCGTATGTGATCCTTTGAGATGTTTAAAGTGAGAAAAGTAGAGGAATTCTCTGATGCTGACTGAATTGTGGTCAGGTTGTCTATAGATGACCTATTTCTAGCTGAGTGCTGTTTGTGGAGTTGATCTTATAGTTTTGGCATTGCTAAGCTGTCATCTCTTCAATTTACAGTCAAAAATATGGGTAGTTAATTACTACCTAACACTTTTTGGTTGGTTTTGGGTTATTAATTGGAAATATATTTATTTATTTTCCTTTAATCTATGTTATTGGTTGAGGAGCCACTTAATATTCATGATTTAGCCAGAAACTTATATCACTTATGATTTAAAAGTATTTAGACTAGTTGTTGTTGTTGTTGTTGTTGTTGTTATTAGTATTATTAGTATTATTATTTTCAGGAGTATCTGTAGCAATAATAGTAGTAGTAGTAGTAGTAGTAGTAGTAGTATAATAGTAGTGTTATTAGTGTTATTAGGATTATTATTAGGGATTCATGATGGTATCAGAATCATATCAGCAGGTATTTGCTTAAAAATACCTGAGAATTTAGATTAGGCCGATATTTCAAACCAATACTTGGTCTAGTGATGCACAGAATGTTTTGGCAATGCTGGGTTACTGTGCTAAAATATCTATCATTTGTAACACTGTATAAATAACCATTGTATTTGTCTGCTAATGCTAATCCAGGTAGATTTAGTTACAGTTTCTACGTTTTATACATGTTTATGTATCGGTAGATTTGTACGTGAGAAATGAAGCCATCGTTCAGGTCTGTGTGACTTGTTTAGTGTGTCAAGGTGTGGGCTTGGGAAAGTAGACACTTCAAAGCCAGATCCCTCTGTGGGAGATCCTGTTCAACTGTATAGGCAATATAAGGGGCAACTAAGTGCAGCCTCTCTGGAGACTTGTATAGAGTTTAATAGTCCCTGTGGTGCTGGATCACACACCTCGTTCTCTAGATCTGAAGGACTGAGAGTGGGAGACCTTGAGATCAGGCAGGACCTTCCTGTTCCTGTATTGTAAACATTTACTGCTGCATGTACAGTTGTCTCCTAAAGTACAGCCAAGGGCACTCATGCTAAAATTAGCATATAGTTTGAAGGCTCATGGAAAAGGCTTTTATGTATGTATGTATGTATGTATGTATGTATGTATGTGTGTATGTATTTATTTATTCATTCATTTATTCTCCTTCTACTGATGATTCACTTATTGATTATCTGTTGGGATTTCTCTAATTATCCATTTTAGACTTCATATCATCATATCGTCATCTGAGATGTTTTGCCCTCAGTACACAAAGCTGATAGAGAAGGTGTTGTTTTTCATGTTGTGGTCAGTATCTTTTTTTTATACAAATATGAAGATTCTGGGTGTATTCCTTTAATCAAAATGACCACGTCTGTATCTGTCAATACAGATATCTTGTCATTATTTTTAAGCATAGACATAGAGTTAACCTGAAGCATAAATCTGAATAATAAGTTTACAGGTTTAGTAAATCCATTTTGTACTCCTTGCAGTTCAAATTCAACTAAAGGTCAAAAATATTCTTTATGTAGCCATTGGCATTAGCCTAGAGATCACTTGACATAGTCTGGTTATAACACAGTTCACAGTAAGTTCCGTTCATTGTTCTCATTGTTTTTTTCGATGTCTGTTCATTTTTCAGTGGAATGCTAAAAGTTTGAGTTGCCATTCTTGTTTCCATGACTTTATTAGTTGGTGTGGATTTTATCATCACGTTAAATTACAGAATTTAACTTTTGTCGCTGTGTAGTCGGTCATTACTAACGAAGTTAGTGAGTTTAATAAAACAGTAATTTGAAAGTAAACTAGTGTTAACTAAAGACTTAGTACAGACTTCACACACAATCGCAATGCTTAATCCCAGACTTGTGCCTAAATGATCCCAGGCCAGAACTAGAACTGTGTAGCACAAAACATCTTAATATCAAGCCAAGTCTGTGGTAATCTTTGTCTCCTGATGCTAATGTGGAGCCACCGTTCTGCACTTTTAGGGTGGCCTGAATTTCAAAGGGCACACTTTCACAGCTCCCGAGGTGAGAGTCTGCTTTGGCTAATAATGTCCTCTTCAAAGTGCGCACTTCACCATGTTTCTGTGACATGTGGCGTGTGCCAAGTATAAGGTGTGGGCTCGGGAAGACCACCTCGTCTTAGCTTTCCGCGCTGGCGTTCAGGGACACACTTCTCATTCTTCTGAGACTTCTTAGGTGGCCCATGTGAAGTGTGCCAGACCTTTTGCTGTACCTGTAATCTGTCCCCCTCTGTGCTAATAAGGTTCCAGGTGTAAAAGAGAAGACTGAACACACTCTTCTTTTTCCCAGGATCACTGATATTGACCCTTATTCTTAACTATTGGAATCTGTTTTTTACGGGTTTTCCCGTTAATTGGGGAGGTTCCTTTAATTTATTAGTCCATTAGAGAAACCACACATATGAAACCACACTTCATGAGGTAAACAAATAAACCTCAGTATTCAGCCGTAGAATTACAAAAATGACACCTGTAAACAACCTGTGTAATGAGCCGGGGGCACTTAATAGACCACAATACTGATATCAGTTGGTGTTTGGTCAGTGTGCTTGTTTAATGTAGAGTGTTTTTGGTGTGTTCTTGGGAAGGCTGGTGTCTTACTGCCACTGATGCTTGTTTGAATCAGGAAGAAGGGTCCTTTTGTTAGTCACACATACTGAAGCTTACTTGTTAAGGCACACTTCTCAGGTAACGTGTAAGGAGTGTGCCAGGCCTGTAGGTGCTAATAAACTTGATCTAATTCTGTAGATGAGAGGCACAATACTAATTGGAGGTGTCATGCTAAGATTCCCTGGGACCCCACTTGCATTTAATGCTGCTTGAAAGATCAATGAAATTGTCAGTAAAACAAATCTGATTCTGTTTTAGAAGATTGTAATATAACGCTTGTTTTACACAGCTGTGTAAATTTAAAAAAATAGGACTGTAAAGGAAGCTGGACAAAAATATTTATGTACAGCTTCCTTGTGTCCTGCTAATTAGTTGAAAGCTGTGAAATTAGCCAAAACACATATTATAATCTTTTTGTACACTTTTTTGCAATCCAATTTGTTTTATATTAC